CCCCCTGTCGGTTTTGCATTTCCTTGAAAAAGAAATATAGACTTTGGAGCAGCTCCATTTGTTTGCTTACCATGTGAAACTGCCTTGTTCATATCGCATAGTGATTCAAATAATAGAGTTACGGGTCGGAAGATAAGATTGTATTTTTGTCTGCTTGAAAAAGCTCGGAAGAAGAGATCATGATGCTTTATGAACTTCTGTGAACTTGGAAGCAGGAGGCTGTTCGAGCTCACGTACATATTATAGTTGTGAAGGCATATATCGTTTCGTCCATCGTCTTTGCTTTCTGTTGATCCCCTTACACTATCATTTCATAGGGCGTCTAAATAATTTGGATCTACAGCAGTTAATCCGATAGTACTTCGTTTAAAAAAAATCGTTATAATTTTGGAGTTTTGGTACAGTTTTGGTGCAGTGACATAAAATTTAAAATGATATTGGAGCTAACCCGAATTCGAATCTTGGTGGGCCTGTGGGTTCCGAATGACTTTGATAAGGGGGGTTAGTCACTTAGAACTTAAAATTGGAACGTGGATAATCTGTAAGATAAAATTTTAAAGTGTTAAGTCACATAGAATTAAGAAGTTGGATATTTTTTTGTAGTGTTAGTCAAGTAGAACTTTTCTAGAACTAGAACTGTGATATTTTTTTGGTGTGTTAGTCGAGTAGAATTCAACTAGAACTAGAATTGGGATAATTTGTCATAATTATCCCACTAATTATGCTACCTATATATGTAGTCATCAGTTCATCTCTCTCAAATTATCCTACAGATTGATAAAGAATCAATTGGGAAAAAAGTGGAACTGCAACCTTTTGAAGAACATCGCTTCTCCTCGGTTCACAGGTCTTTTCGATCTCTCTCTCTCTCTCTCTCTCTCTCTCTCTCTCTCTCTTAGAACTTAAAAAACCGATATTGCTTTAATTATTAGATCAAAAAACCGATTCCTTCTTTAATTAGGACATGAAGAAGACGAGTTACAGACTCAACAAACTCAACGAGTAGCGGCAAGACCTTGGAGAAATTCTATGACAGATGCCATGTGGGATTATGAAAGTCGAGTCACTCTAGGGATTTAGATTTTCATTTAGTTGTAAAATATTTTATTATTTGAGAAAAATAGTGATGATTTATTGCTTTATATTTATAGTTATTATATTACTAGACTAATCAATCTTATATTATTTTTAATATACAATTATTAAAAATATAATTATTAAAAATAGTAATATATATTCACCATTACCCCCACCAAATTATCCTACTAAATTATACAACTTCATAATATTATCCACCATTATCCCACTAAATTATCCTACCAAATTATTCCACTTCAAAAATTATCCATCATTGTTCCATTAAATTGTCCCAGTGTCAAAAAATTATCCCACTTTACCAATTATCCCAGTTCAATTTAAAAAGTTCTAGATGACTTATAAGGATAGGACAAAATTTTAAAATCGACCATTTTTAAAAATTAATAAGCAAAAGCGACCGGTTAAAAAAATATTCAGCGAAATTGACTCTTTTCACTGAAAATGGTCGATTTTACAATTTTCGAGCTGCACGGGACTACTACTCCCGTGCAGTTCTCCCAAAAACGCCAAGCAAATCCACGTCCTTCCCCCATCTTCATCACATCTCCTCCTCCCTGCCTCGAAACCCAAAAAACCAGACCCCAATGGTGACTGAAAACGCCGATGCCGGCAGAGCCGCCACCTCAGACGAGCTCACCGCCGTCAAAGACCTCCGCCTCCAACTCGAAGACTCCATCGAATCCCGCCACCTCTCTCAACAGGACCTCGTCTCCTCTCTCCAAGCCTTGGTCCCCAACCTCGTCTCCTCCCTCGATCTCTCCCTCCAACTCATCCTCGCCTTCAACCGCCGTCCTTTCGCCCCCACCTCAAACCCTAACCCTGACTCCCGCCACCGCCCCAACGACTAGGGCTGAGCA